CAAATATTTTAACCTCCGTTTGCAGTACCCAACAGAGCAGCAGTAAGGGACTTTTCGCGCTGCCACCCGATCGCGCAAGACCCCCTGTAGGGCCTTGTAAAACCCGAAAAAGCCCAGGGGGGGCTGGGCCTCTTTTTGACCCCTGCCGGCGATTCGCGAGTCCCCCTTACTGCTGCTCTGCCAACACTCAAAAATATGAAAGGTACTGACTGATTAGGTTTGATTGATGGCAGCGAAAAACCAAATTTCTTCAGCGTGCAGCTTGTAGACACAGAGTTTGCATGTTTATGAATATTGCAGTAAATCTGCAGATGAGATTTGCTTGTTAGAATTCAGTCTTTCACTGCTGCAAGTGATTATAAAGGGTACAGACAGATTTTTGATTGACAGAAGTGAAATAACATTTCAGCACATCTTAGTAGTGGTATCAACAACTAGTTTTAAGGGGTCAACCTTTTTAATCTGACGAATTGCTAGTTTCCTGTTGACTTTATAAGAGGGTTATGGATTTCTTACTAACTGTCAGAGAGAGGGAGGGCTACAACCATTTTAAAATAAAGTTTTAATGATGCAGATCCTCTAACCCTTCCCTCCCCAGCCCATCAAAAAGTGTACCTTCCTTTGGATGCATTCATAATGTATGGCAGAGGGGAGCAGGTTAAATTTATGGGGAACCACAACAATTTTTAACAGTAAAATAAGGGTGGGGGGGGGGGGGGTCGGGGGGTTGAAAATAGAATTAGGGTGGATGCAAAATTTTTACGAGCTACGAGAGATTTTTTTTTCATTTAAAGATTTCCCGCCCCCTCCTTTGCCATACATTATGAATGCAGCCTTGGGAAATGGGAAATTATATGGATATAAGAATATTATATCACACAATTGACATATCAGATAAGTTTTATTATTACTAATTACTATATTACATTAAACACAAATGCATATAACACAGATATTAAGCCAATGTAAAGCCTCTCTATAGACTATCACACCCCTGTCCATACCCCCTAAAAGGGATTGGACAAAAGAGCCCAGAAGAGACTGTAAAAGGTAAACTATGCACTAGCTACATGATATATAACTGTAAGTAATTTGACTAAAGATTAATATATATTACTATCAAAGAACAGTATTAAAGTTTATTGCTAAAATGCTTCCAATCCAAAATTAAAGTCGCGAAACAATTGTGCCAAGTATTCTATTTAATAACCTATGACCATATTCATACACCTTTAGTACTCTATGAAGCTCAATGTAATCCAAACAAACTACAGTTTGTGGTCATGACAAGCCATTATCATTCAATCCTATCTTCCTTACTAACGCAACCCACCCAGTCATCCCCTCTGCTCTGACAAAGTAGATGAAAGGATGAGATGTTGCTATTACTAATAGTCTTTAATGAAACCATTTATCTGAAACCAGCAGACAAAAAGCTGGACTGTTAGTTTAAAGAAGATTTAGTAAAAGATAAACTAGGCAAAGGAATGGTAGTAGCTGTTGCATGTTGAATGCCTTTGTTCCTTTTGACCAGCACTTTAAACAAGGGCAATACATAGAGAAGTTGACAAAAGCTTAGGAATTTCCTGTATAACAGAAGGGGGAAAGTTCCTTGTTTGCAAGTGAAGACTTGTGACGATTTTTCACTTTTGAGCGAAGTAAAAGATGTACCAAGATGACTGCAATGCAACTTATCCTTTCCACTTTTTTCCATTTAGTGTGTGAACAAATTAGACTAGTACCACAAACTGTTTTAAGGATGAGAACAATTTAGAGAAACTTCTTTGATGTCTAATTTATAATTTTTAGCGAAACAAACTTGGGCTTAGAAAGCATAATACTGATGGACAAAATTAGGACGTAAATAACTTGTAGCAGAGATTGGATTGGAAAAGAATCAACTTTTTACTCTATTGCTAATAAAGGTTTTAGCTTGCAATGCTATGCTTTTAAGACTCAACATATTCAAAACGGTATTGTAAATTATAGTTGAGTGAAATATAGCTTAAGTTGATGACAAAATTATTTACTAAATTCTAGCATAACAGACCTTTGCTCTCTTCCTGCCATACGTTTTCTAGTTTTTTTTGTGAAAACTGTATAAGCATTTAATATTCTATTTTGGAGAGTAATCTCAACACCCACCTCTTGTGTAGTGGAGTCAGAATCARACTACAGGTATAGTAGAGAGCACTAAATGTATGACTTATCACTTATGACGATAATCTTAGATCCAGTAACAATACTACATTGATTACACTAACTTATTAATAATATATAATTATTATCACTTATACCATAGCAGTAAATGGCCTAACAATTAATCTAACTTGAAGATAGCAAGCTTATTTTAATGAAAAATTCATTGTTATTTATATTTTGAGTTGTAAAGCATCTACTCTATTATTGCTGAAAGCATTGAACTTATTTTGGCAATTTTTGATCAGACTTAGAGTATAACAGTATTTTAAATTCCTGCTTTTTGATTTAGATGCCTAAAATACAACAGTTTTCTCTGGAAATAAACTTAAAACTTATTTAGTTATATTACTCGTAGATTTTAAGTTCTTTCAAAACTTTCTTGCCAGAGTAATGATTATTTCTGATCAAAATAATTTATCAGGTCTTACATCTTACAAGAAGTTTTAACGATTCCAAAACTGGGATAAAAAATGCAAATATTTCAAGGCATGAATTGAAATCTAAAAGAAATTCTGTAATGCAGAACTTTTAAGAGTTCATAATTACAGAATATTTTTATATTTCACCAATTACCTTTTTAAACCTTTTTAAGTGAAAAAAATTCAAAAAAATTATAAAAAATGTGAGCGAACAGTTTTTGAATTATCAAATAACTAATTTATCATCATTAGTCATGTAAGTTTGTGCACAAGAAAACCATTCCCAGCCTCCTTAAGCATTCATGTCATCCCATAACAATGAAAACTCTAGCATTTGCATTTAATCAAGAAATTTCCAATGTTAGAGTGCACGCACTAAAACCGTGAACATTAAATAGTAGTAATTAGTACTATTTCATACAGAATCCTTTGTTTTCTATTATTTAATTATCACTATTTAGCGGTAAAAATTAGTATTTGTTTCACGGATTTAGTGTGAGCACTACTCTATCTGTTATATTGAAAGTATGCAAGCTGAATATAACCATTTTTTAAATCTCTGTTTTCGACAATTTAGAAGAAACAAAGCTGAATCTTGTTATTTTTGATGAAGATATTTACTGGAAATTTCAACATAGAGCAAACTTGGCTATTTCAAATTGAACTGATATTATTAATGGATTTCTTTTTGCGTCAAAAGTACGAGAGGTACCAAATTATTTACTTTGATCTAAAGAACTACAAAGAACAAAACGAAACAAAAAACAAAAAAAATTAAAGTATTGCCATAATTTCCTTAAGAAAAACGGTCACAATTTATTCTATCATAAAGAATCTTTCTTAAAGCTTCAATATTTACTGCCAGAGAAGACTGCAAGAACATTTCTTAATATCCTTTTCTCGATTAAAAATCAACAGCGTCAAGTATACAAGTATATATGTTTCATTTAACTTGAATTTTTCAACCCAATAAAACTTTCATGGACAATGAACATTTTTGATTATACCAAACAATAATTATCACTCTGAAGTGTTTTCTACCGTAAACTAGTTAGAAAAGCCTAAAACATTGCAGAATTGTGGGATGAAATACCCTTCAAATGTCTTTTTTAATCTTCCAGGTTTGATTGAGTCTGGAATATCAATGTTGTCTCGTTGTTTAATTGTTGTCATGATTCGTAATCTGCCAATATTTCAATATAGGTTATGGTCTTGGATATTGATGTAAACTATGTGAAGGCCTACATCATTTTTGAGACTTCGTTTCTGACGGCTGAAATAGAATGAAAGGAAAAATGGTTAGGAGAGATAAGATGGGATAATGATATATATTAATGACATATATATGTAAGGGGGGGGGGGGTAATCATGTATGTTATGACCATCCAACACACGATGTTGATCAATACTCAGCCTTCTGTTACAGGCTGATCAATGGTCAATACATGCCTAACACAATCACCAACAATTTGCTGACATTGTATATCACAAATATTACCATGGTTTAGTTCACTAAATGCAAGCAAAATATCCTTTCTCTAATTTGATAAAGCTTTTCATACTGCTATTTAGAGAAATAGATAAACAAACCAAGCAAATAGTTTGTTCAAAAGTCAGTAAATTTGTACAGGAATCTTAGGACATTTTAGTGACCATCACACAATTCACCACCATTTATACCAAGTGATAGCTAAGACAAGACTAGGTCCTTACCCTCAATGATTTCTTCTTTATATGCTTCCAGCTCTTGTCTAAAAGCAATTATAAGTTCCTACAAGACAAACAAGGGCAAGTATTAGTATTGGTTAAGGTAACCAGTTTATTTTCTATAAGAAGGTAAAAATTTGATTCCTCTTACCGATTTGAATTCCTCCAGCTGTTCATTTGTTATACTTGAGTCACTTTTACTACTGCTGCTTGTACTGTTAAATCGGCTGCTAAAACAACATTCAATATAAAAGTTTATTATATGTTCATATTACTCTTTAATTTCAAAAAGTCATGGGTTGGGATAAGTGTAGTGTGGTGTTGGTAGAGAAGAAGAGTCTGAGGAGGGGGTGGGCCTCCCCTTTCATCACCCTGCAATAGCTCTCAATCCCCCTCAATATGTGATAACCCCCCTAACTGATAGTACTGAGTTTCCTACCTTTCAGACTTATTCATTTTGACTGGAGGTGGGAAGCTTGCTTTATTTGTGTTACTAGAGAAGGATGGTGGGTTACTGGGCGTTGTTGATCGAACTGCTGTAATATTAAAAAACAAACAAGTTAATTTACAGCTAAATATTTTTGATAAAGAGAATTATTACCTTGGGTGTACATTTAACTACTTAAGACCACATCATATTTCTATCGTAATGCTTCTTAATTTGAGTCACAAACACACTTCTTTGATGTGTTTTCTCAAATGGTACTGATAAAGAAAGAAGCAATATGGAAAGACATGCTAAGAAACAGAGCAAAATTCCACCTTAGTTGAGCAGTCAGTTTAGAGAATCCGACAACAAGGTTAATATCCCTAAACCTAGAACTGACTACTGTAAGTGTAGCTTCAGCTGCAGTGGCTCTGTGTTATGGAATGGATTGTCAGTTGACTTGAGAAAGTCAAAGTCTCTCAATCATTTTAAAAAAGGACTTGACAAATTTTATTCGTTATCAGACTCCCACACGGCAAACATGTAAACCAGTTTTAATTTCAACTTATTTGAATTTAGGATGTAACTGATGTTTTTACCACGTATAAATAAAGTTTTGTCTGTCTGTCTGTTCTGTCTGTCTGTCTGTCAACTTCAGTGTATTTGAAGAAAATGTTAATACCACATTGAATAATTCTATCTTGAACAAGTTGAAGTTAAATATTTTGACTAAAGCTTTACACAGGGTGGTCTCATTGAGCTGTTCACCAAAAATTGTACATTATAATACAAGGAAACAAAAATATTGGAATACAATTACAGAGGCTACAATATATATGTGAAAATAGAAGTAATAGGTAAAATAAAAGCACTACATACAAGGAAAGGATTTTTCTTCTTGATTTACCTGTAAAATGGACATCAAAGATATATTTAAGATATTACAAATAATGAAGAATGAATGTTAAAACACAAAAATTGTAGCTAACGTTATGTGGGCCTGAATTCCCTTATTGTCTGCAGGAGATAAAAGCAGTCTGTAAAAGATTTATCTATTGTGAAGGAGGTCATGGGTTTAAATTACATCTGGAGTATTATTAACGATCTTAAATAACTGGGAAGAAGATGCTGCCATGGCGATAAGACATGCCGAGAGTTAAACTTGGTTTCAATGGTCAAAAGATTGTTTCATCCTCATTAGTGTCATGAGTTTATCAGCAATCATTAGTYCCTTTCACAGTTCTTTGCACCATCTTGAAAGGTAGCTGTGCCTTTGCATGGAAGCGAGACCAATAGTGAGCTTGCAATGATAGAGACATGTCAATAATAATAATTGTTCAAGGTATCAAAAAAGATTTCTATCATTGCAAGGCTACTTTTCAAGACAGTGCAGGAAAATGTGAAGGGGACTATTTCTTCGGCTATCATGTCAGTTGAATCAAGGAATATTTTCACAAAACTTTATATTCAAGTCTATATTATTGTACTAGAATTTATTGTTTGATGTAATAACTTACTGGTCCATTTGTACTTGGACTGTCATCTTGTTTTGCACGCCTAAAGATAAGATAGTAAACGATAGTAAACGTTATTAGATTACTCAAATGATCCATGGCCATGCTCAGTGTATGGTATGTCTGGGCAGTTATGTCTTTATGAAAACCATTCGTAAAAATTTCTATCCATGTTAAAGTGGTTGTATTTTATTATTATATTGTATCAATATAACTGGCGGAAGGGTGGAGCTCTTGGAATAATTGTGAAGTAAAACTTGCTCCAGGGCTCAGCACTGGGACCCCCAATACCTTCTGATTGGTGAAGAAACATTCTTGAAATATTTCTAGGTGCCCACGGTTTTTCGATTTGCACTGTAATACGATTGTATTTCATTATTATACTGTATCAATATAACTGCATGGGACAGTCAAGAAAAGGTTGCTCTAGGGCTCAGCACTGGGACCCCTAATAAATCACTGTCATTTAACTATCATAATACCCAGAAATATTGTAACTCTGAGCGGTTGTGATAAGCATGAATTTTCCATTTATTTCTATGGATTAAGCTGGGGGATTTTTTTACCCTACCTTGCAGCTAATTTCCTTTGCATTTCAGCCATCATATCCATACCACCTACGCCAGAGTTATTTCCACGCACAGAATTAGATCTCTCTGTTCTCACTCCACCATCACCAGAATCTCCCTGGGTAATAACAATATTAAAACAAGAGTTAAGAAAAATGGTTGCTATCATCATCATCATCACCATCATCACTATCATAAATAAGATACATACAAAAAACCGAGGAATTATTTTTAACTACCTCACTCACCTTAGATGATTTCCGTAACTTTGCAGCAGCAATCTGATCAGCCAGTGAGCCTCCTCCACCAGCACTAGGGGCAGGAGGCGCAGGTGGTGGTGGTGGGGGAGCAGGAGCACCGATACCAGGAACTGGAGGAGGCTGAGGAGGCCGAGGAGCAGCAGGACCTGATGGTGCTGGAGGAGCTGGGGGTGGTGTTGGAGCTGGTGGTGCTGCAGCTACATGCAAACAAAGAACACTGATTTAGCCAAGGTATTTAAAAGATACAATTATCATACACATATAGTTAAAATGTGGGTTCTATTGGAAGGAATGATTTTTAGTTTAAACCTAATTTTTTAAAAATGTCGGTTGAAAAAGTTTAATCATCGAAGCTTAGACTGGGGGGTATTCTGGGTAGTCTATATCCTGGGCATTTGGATCATGCTTGCATACAGACACCTGCATTAAGATTGACAAACTACTTTGTTTGGTAGCTTGAATCAATGTTATAGGGCTGCAAAACTGCAATATGCATAATATTAGCCTCATTAACTGTTTACCCAAAACACCCTTCAGTCTTAGCTTTGATGATTAAACGTTTTCAACCCCTCACGAAGTCTTTTTGATTTGCTGTATATATGTGGTACAGTATTTATTTAACAGATCAAAAACAGTTTTCCGTGTTTGATAGTCTGATCAAAACACGCAGGATGTTGAGAGAACACGAGAGGAGTGTAGGATTTGTTTTATGAAATAACAAACTCGCGAAAAGATCGAAAAAAGCAAATTCAAGTAAATTCTCCCTACCTGCCGTCTTATTCAAACTGACCAATGAGTGCGCGCGATAGATTAAAATCTGACAGTTGCAATACTCATGCGCGCTAAAATGACAATAGCGTGTTTTGATACCCTCATCAAACATGGTTTTCGACCAATCACAGCGCGCGTAGTATCCCAATTATTTTATAAAGCATATTTATTTCATTCTTGCCTCGGTTTTAATATCTTGTGAAAAAACAACAATGTTTTTGAGTGTATTGGCTACATCACACTTTAAATTTAAGGGGTTAGTTTAACCTGGGTTTTAGGTCGACATGATCATAATTAATAATGATTTATAATTATCAATAAAAATCCATTCAAGTGTGTTGTAGAAAGGGCTTTCAGAATGTTTTGAAGTAGGTGGTCATACATAAGTCTGAAGTAGCTGGCTGGAATCCAATACGAGGAAAAGAAGTTTTTTCATGAAAAAGAAAAAGTAGGCAACGGTAACTTTGAAGCGATGGGCAGAGTTTGGCCGTCCACTTTCTTATTCTGAAAGCACTATGTAGAGCTTTGCGGAAACACTTTATCTTAACACGAATTAATGCAGGTGCAAATAAACTATGGTCATTGTCGTTTTCATTGATAGTACTGCTACTAACAGTGTTATTATAATTATAAAATACTTTCAGCTTACACTTTACCACCACTTATTCGCACGGATACAAGTTAAACAAATAATATTATTCTCTAGGGAATGACGTGGTCTGAAATGGATAGACATTGCACCAAGACGAAATTAGGCTTATCAAGGTGCTAATTATATGACAAATAAAAGTATAGAAGTAAACAGCCTACTTTTATAAGATGGCAAACATGGAAATGAGAAACACTCTTGTCACAGTATTATATTATAATACTATTGCATTTCTGTGTGATATCATATTGTGTAGTTCCAGAAATTATCCATACCCACCCTAAAGAGGATTTGGAATTACCGAAGGGTTGGGGGGGGGGGTCAGAGAAAGAACAAAAATTACAGAGTTTGTATGGAAGAAAGTTGGAATTTCCGGGGGTAGGGAGTGTCTTAAGAAAATTCCTCCGTGAGGGGGTATGGATAATTTTTGGAACCACACAATGATATAACATAATATTGACGTTATACTTTCAAAAAATATATATTTGTTGGATGATAGCCATCAATTGTGCTCTTCTTAGGAATATTTCAACCATAAACAGAGATCGATACCAGTAATGATATGAAACCACAGCAGAACACAAAATAGTTTACGATCCCAATCACAGAAAAAAATTATTCATAAAAAGTAAAAATTAGGAGTAAAAAGACTAAGAATTGAAATCAAAATTATCATTTAGAAATGGAACTTATTTTATATCTAGAAACACATGTAGAACTGGATCCTTCACTGGTAGATATTCAGAGAAATATTTGGAAGAGAATGTGATTCAACAGTTGTCTACAGTAAAGTGAAACATCTGGTCTAAACCACACTAGCACCAACGAAAGAAGAATTAGTTATATTAGCTTAATTCACATTTACATGGAAATTTATTTAAGAAGGACAAATTAATTCACTATAAAATAGTGCTGCTTTAGATTTTAAAACAGGAGCACAAGAACAAAACTGCAATAAAAGATAGTACTAAAATCTAGAATAATTCTTATAGTGAAAATTGAAAAAAAGCCTGAAATTTCTTAAGGAAAAAAATAAAGAAAAAATAATCATTTTTCAGGAAATCAAAAGGAATTATTCAAAATATAAATCAGTGATGTACAAAATTAATGGGCAAATTCAAAACAGGAGAATTATATTTCCGTGCATTGCAAAACAGGAAAACTCAAACCAAAATAATTATGGAAATTATGAGGGAGATATTTGATTATTCTTACTCAGTCTGCTGTAGTCCATTCCACAATATGGGCACTGCTCTTTGAACTTTGGATAATGTCTCAGAGACCGATTCCAATTGTGTTTAGCCGAAACAGGGCTGACAAAGGTAGAAAATGTGTTTCGTCGTCCCAAACTCATAATAAAATCTTGTTTTTAACAAAAAAAGATCAAACAATCTTTTGGTCCTCTAGATGTGTTTTAAGCCTTAGTTTCAATGTTTTAAAAAGAAAGTATAAGCTGTCGTAAAAGGTATCGTGATTGGATGTGTGGTAGTTGGTATTAGCATAAATAATCGTGACATATCAGTCTACAATAATAAAAATCTCAAAGGAGGATATTGTTTCACTACCACAGCTATTTCCTTACTTTAGAGGTTTCATTTTTAGTTCAAAGCTGATTCATTATTTCAACTGGCATAACATTTCAATACTACTAGGACTTGATATATTGGAATTAAGATTAAAAATCAGGAATGTCTGTTTTAAGTTCAAGGTGCCAAAATTTTTAACAGTGGTTAAATGACTTAATCCATGAAATAGTAAGGTAAGAGAGGCTAGTTATTACCATTGTTTTATTTTGTGTCTTTTTGACTACTGCACGCTAGCCAGTAATTTTTGTTTCACAGGTTGAGCAAAATCTGTAAAATCGTTTGTACACTCTAATGTACAAAAAATACTAGTCTGTCTAAGAATAATACTATTGTATTATATTTAACCTGTGAAACAATATATGATAGTCAATGTCTAATATGAAAACAAAGAAAACAATAAACAATCAGTATCTATCAGATACAGGTAGGGTCATGACAGGTTGTGGGTAGGATATCTGTAGGTTAAGTGTGTGCTGTTGGCCGGTGGTGTGTGGCAACAACCTACCAACATTTTGGGGTCGTATACTTGTATATTACAGGTTAAATGGAAGCACTATTATAATGAAGGTTCAGTTAACTATAGGTCTACCTCTTGCAGGATATTTCCAATTAAGCTCAACTTGGAAGACAAAACAAAAGAACTCTACTCTCCTTGAAATCGATATTCATTGTTTTGTCCTCTGAATTGAGCTGCTTTAATTTGGGAATCGATAAAAGGAGTCTATAAATGTAGCTAGAGATAAGATTATTATTATAAACAATTCCAATTTTTTGATCAAAATGTAAAATCTTCTTTGGACAATTAATTAACTTCCTTTATAATAGCAAGGAGAAGATAATATTTCATCACTTTAATTAAGAGTAATAGGTATAGGAATAATGAGTTTGAATACTAAACCTAGGTTCATGTTAAAATTGTTGTGAAAAATTATAAAGGTCTTATGCTTATGGAAAGAGATATGAAAATAATTATACTAAACATGATGTGGCCAATACTACGTTTTACAGTTCCATTCAGTGACCATGAATCATAGTTCCAAGCTGCCGCTGGAGTTGCCGTGCATGATAAACTATAGTTTTTCTATGCACGCTAACTCCACCCTCAACATGAAACTATTATTCCTGGTCACTGAATGGAACTGTAAAATGGAATATTACTTTTTTTTAAGTATAAAATATATAATTTAACTTGCCCTTAATATTTCATTCTTATAATCAATAGAGTATAAACAATAAGCCCATAAAATATATTACTATATTTACCATCAATTAGACACGTTATGGAATTGTGAATTTCAAAGAAGGTAGAAAATATCTGAGCAATACATGTGTAGTGAACAAGATTAGAAACTTCATGTAGTAATTGTTTATAGTAATAACGATTGAACATGTTTCATGTTCTTACTCTATGCAGTATTTGTTTATCTATGATAAATCAGCTTCAATATCTAGTGAATAAATTATTTATAATACACAAGCCTTTGATTACTTACATTGGATAGGAGAAGTAGGTCCAACCGACGATGCTACGGACAACTGACTTGACTGTAGAATAAGAAAACATTTTTAACAGGATTAATCGTTCAATTAGGAAATCCATTAAGAAATATATCTGGCACTCGTACTAAAATTTTGAGGGGAAAAAACATTACTTTGGGACAATATTTCTAAACATTTAACATAATAATGAAATAATGGAATAATAAAGTCAAAAAGATTGAACGCATAAATGGATACGGAAATCAAATAAGTTAAAAACATGATAAAGTTGAAGCAAAACAACATGTACTTAAAACTTAGTCATTCATTGCCTGAAGAAACCATTCTTTTCACTTGATATTATGATACACTAAACACTCTCTAATCTAATTCTTTAAAATTATTTTTCAGGAATTATTACCGCTTGTGTTTTACTTTAAAATTTACCTATGAGCTCAAAGCAAGACTGTTATTTTACAGGGCTCAGGATTCTTCCAGGAGGAAAAGATTATGGTAATCAACCCCCCTAAAGATTAAAGCTACTTGAAATTCTTCAAAATATGTAGTACATCTCTCAACAAGATCTCCTTATCAATCTTACATTTCCACATGGCTATCAAGATGGGAGTTCAAAATTGAACTACTAATGTCCTTAAGAAGATTCAATTCCAGTCGTTAAATATCTAAATCTTTTTTAAGCATTTTCCTACCATAAAAGTCTGTGTTGAGGTAAAAGTAGCCATGGTTGAGAGACAATGATTAACTAAAAATTATTCTTAAGTTAATGAAGGTAAAGAAGGAACTAGAAAACATCTGTGAAAAGGGAAAGTGAGCTGACTAAGGGGTGATAATGTCAGGGTGAACAATTAACTTGGTGTAATCATTGTGAAGGAGTTGTCATCCATAACCTTCAGAGAGCACATTCTGGGGATTCCAGAGCACCTCACACAATAGTCACAACACTAATAGCAGCTATGAATGATTGAATCCAAATAAAAACAGATTGATGGTAAATAAACTAACAAAGAAATTTAATATTGTTTGAAATAATATATATATATATATATATATATATATTATATAGCCAAATTATATATTTGGCTATCATGATAAAATTGTGTTATTTACACAAAACAGAGGAAAAGGAATGTCAGTGTGTTTGTCTGTGATGTCTTATAACGATATATAATAGATGGAAGTGATTTATAAGGAATGTGAGTAATATATGGGTGTGGGAAAGTGATTATTGTATACACAGGAAGGAGTCCGGATGATAAGAAAAAACGTGGTTAAAACTAAATAATGATGGCTTGAATAAGCATGTGGGTCATTTGGATGAATCTAGAAATGTGTCCTGCTGAGAACGGGCCTGGGGTGTTGTACATGTACCTCTATATTCAATAGCCTTTGTCTGTCTGTCTAACTATCTGGCTTTAGTCAATTTACCTTTCTGTTTGTGTATGTCTGTCTGTCAGTTTATCACATGTGTGTGTCTGTTTAGGTTTTTTTCTGTCTGTCAATCTACCTTTATGTTTGTCTGTCTTTCTGTCTGTCTGTCCATGTCTGTCTGTCTGTGTCTGTCTGTTTGTGTCTGTCTGTTTGTGTCTGTCCATCCGCC